GGCACAGTAATAATGACTTAAGAGCCCTTATGAAAGTTCTCATTGTTATGGTAAATATTGAACATGCACTTCAGTACCCCTCATCATCATCCTCCGCCTCCACCTGATCATCTTCAGAGGCATCGTCTTCAGCATTGTCCCTTCCACTGTCTACAGCATCATCACCCTCCTCTGCAGCGTGATGGTGGTCACGCTTCTCTGCTAGTGACCCCCGGAACCCTGTGCCACTCCTCCTCGATACATCCACAGTTGCTGCCTTTCGCTTGGTGGGTCGCCTCTTCCTGGTGCTGCGCCACAATGCCACGACTTCGCTCCACACCATGTCGTAGTCTAACAAGCTGAGCGTCATGAGGTCGGCCAGCTTCGCGTCATGCAAGCTGGTCCGGATCCAGCTCTTGATCACGTTTTGGCGCGAAAATCCGCGCTCGCACTCCACCGTGCTGAGAGGCAACACCGCGACGGCCGCCCACAACCGCACCAGGTTCGGATAGGTCCGCTGCCAGTCCGATGTTTACAATATCGCCCGCAAGCCAGCATGGAACGGCTGCTCCTCCTTTGGCGCCCCGGACAGCACAGATAGGAAAGTGCGCATCTCCTTCCGCACTTCGCGCTTGTTGACACCTGCTTGGTGGGGTGTTAGAAAAAACCATACACGAGGGTTTCGGGTCATCTTTGGCGGCTACCTGGCGGAGTCTACACTGCGATTTACAATTCACACAAGGGTGCAATTTACACTGCAACGTGAAGTGTGTAAACAGACACGGAAACTCACCAGGAAGGATCTCGTCCCTGTCGCGCGCATGGAACATCACCGCCAGCTTCTCCATGTGTCCCTTGCACTCCGCGTCCCTCGCCTCTTTTCCTCGCGGCCATGACCTTGGCATGAAGAGCTTGGCGGCGTTGAGGTTCGACAGGTCGCCAAGCCGAAAGTCGAGGTTGTACAGCAGCTCCGTCGCAAACGAGCGGCACGTCCGAATGCAAGACGGCAGGTCACCGACGCCCTCCGCGTAGCCAGGAATCGGCTCCTCGTGCAGGGTGAACTCATGCTCCCTTGGCACACCGTCGGTGTCCACTCCCTGCACTTTCATGCTCCTGCTGCATGCAGCACCGTGTCGAGCGAGGAACGGCGATAGCAGTGCGCTCGACCCAGCACCGAACTGCTGCCCACAGTCAATGTACCGCTCCCTGATGAAAACCTCGAGGCGCCTCATCTGGGAGTGAACCGCCGTCAAGTCCACCTGTGATTGGGTTGAGGGGCAGGGAGGACAGACGACATAAAAGAACGGTAAGTATCAGTTCGTTTGAGACCTCGCTTTTGCAAAATGTGTGGCAAATACCTCGCGCCGTTGGAAGAGAAGGTTGAGCATGTTCAGCTCGACGTGTACATCCGCCAGGAAGTACACGTAAAAGTGAAACTTCAGGCTGGTGACCATTTGGTAACAAGTTTTATCCAGCTGCTCGAGGAGGACCACCACCGCCGGAAGCACCTTCACAAACCGCGCAATCGCGTCACCACGGCTTAACCAGCGGACGGCGTGGATGCCTTGCAGCTCCAGGTTTGTCCGGGTGAAGACTGACTGGATCTCCTTGAATGTTGCATGCGAGGTCGAGCTGCGTCCGAGATGCTCCGCCAAAGCACGGATGAGGACGTCAACCATCTGGAGCTCCGGGAGGGCCTCAGCAGAGTCCTTTGCGGCAAGTGCCTCCCTGCCAGGCACAAAGCAACAAGGGCGTCAGACAGTCCGAACGCATAAATAAAACAGGCTATGTAAAATTCCCACCTGTGTGCGATACAGTGGCACGAAACCAGGTGCGGGATGCAGAGTCGAAGCCGCCCAGTGAGACCGTTGGTGCCGCCGAGCATGACTGGAGCGCCGTCGGTGCTGATCCCTGCGATCTTGCCTAGGGGCACGTTGATGCTGTCGAGGTAGCCGACGAGCACTGCATACAGTGATCCTGCGTCACATTTCTCCACGGTCAAGAGCGTCAGAAATTCCGTGGTCACCTCGTGTTCTCTCAAAAACGTGACGAAGACAATCATGTGCTTCCCCCGCACGCGGTCGGTGCTCTCATCACAGCTCAAGCCAATGAAGGGGCTTGAGTCTATGAACTCGCGTTGCTTCGCACGAAGATAAGTCGCTGTAGCTGACACCAGTTCCTGGAACCCGTACCTGCGCAAACACAGTTAGGAAACCCGTATGTTAGGCCATGATAGTTTCGACCGTTACGGCAACCAAGTTGTCACTTTAAAAATCAGAGGCATCACTTACGTTGTATAATAAGCGCCGTAGCCGTTCTTCGGGAATCCTGGCGTACCGCGGGAAGCAAGGTGCCGTACGAGTTGCACCCACATCTCGATGGGTGCGTCGGTCCTTGTAATGAACAACAGCGTGTCCAGCAGCGACTGCACAGCATCATGCTCGAGGTCACGCGCCGTCGGGCAGTCGGGGATGCGATGCTGCCCGGTTGCGTTCGCCAACGCCAGCTCCTGGTTGCGAATAGCGTCCTTGTGCTTCGATGTTCGCTGATGTCGCTGCATGGCTTGCGTCTGCACATCCAGTGCCCCCTCGCCTTTACCGAAGTTTGTTCCTGTGCCTGCATACTCCATACACACGGTGCACTTCATAGAAGGGAAACCATACTTGGTTTGACAAATGATAAGCCACGGGAAGTCTTCGTTCCACCTCCTCTTGAACATGAGCAGAGCTTCCTGGTACTTCTCCTCAGCGATGTCGGGTATTTCGGTGTCAGAGGAAGCAGTGGGGGCGGTTTAAATAAGAACAGTGGGTTCCGGATCTTGCCTGGAGACGGACAGCACCGTCGTGTTGTCTGATGCACGGACGAAGGACAACTTCGTCTGGTGGTATCGCTGCGCGGAGACCTTCGTGCTCGGAGGTCCCTTCCGGGTTGTCCCAGCGGCCTTCGAGCAGTCCCCCTGCGTACGAATCGGCGGAGGCAAAGGCTCGTTATCAACCACGACCGGTGCTGCTGTCGAGGGAGAAGGCACGGGCGGCTGAGACGGCGAAGGGATGGTTGCAGCAGCGACAGCGGCAACATCTACCGTGGGTGGTGGCGGCGGCTGAACGGGCCTGGTGCGCAAGAAATCGAGGCCTGTCAACCCTACTGGGCCGACCGTTGGGTCAGGCATGGCGGGTGCTTCACCATCGCCCGTCGGCGATGGGTCAGCCATGGGCGAACAGCAGTGGTCGATTGTGCTCTGAGACAAACCTACGACGAGCTAGCAAAATCACGGGGGAAACAAAGATTCTTGGGAGTGAGCCAGGGGTTAGGTAGGCACTCAACAGCAAGATGGAGAGGAAGGAGCGCTCGAGGGAATCAGAAAGATTCCTGCCTGAACCTTGCCATCCAAACCAACCCCGCGTGAACCTATAGTTGGTTTGTGTCTGCATGCGGGTTCGGGTGGATGAAAACAGTGTGTACAGTCTGGAGGGAAGCACGTGATGCCTGCGTACAGCAAAGATGGCCTCATCGTGTAAAGTGAGCGCGGCGCACTCTCATTGGTCGATATTACAGCAATGCAGGTTGCCACGGTTGGCGCGGCGTGGTTTCCAGCAGAGGCATCAAAGTCAGGGCGTCAATCACGGCGAAAAAAGTAACGCAGTACCTGGTCGGTGGTTGGGTACACTCGGCCCCGGGCGAAATTGGCACAATACTAGATTCAGGACGACTCTCAACACTACACTGAACCATCAGGGCTGAACCTACATGCCTATACTGAAATTCCAGCACGCAACTTACCACCTATACTGAAATTCCAGGACAACTTTTTCACTTATGCTGTTTTTCCAGGACTGGGACCCCACAGCTATACTGAATTCAGGAGAATCAGGATAAATTATCCTGATATCTGAGGCCCTGGACCGCACGCCAACTGAAGATAGCTGGGTGCCCCTTAGCAACATCGAAAATCACCCTGCCCTGCAAGTGTACCTGAGAAGCCGGGGATTCCGCGATATACACGCACTCGCGTAGCGGAGGGGGCTTCTTAAGGGGGGGGGGTAGTGTAAGGAATTTTCTCGGCATTCCTTACGGAGCCGACTACATCGCGTACAGCAACAGCCGATTGTTCGCCCGTTACTGCTAACGGAACTTCGCCGACTTCGCGCGCACTGTTTTGCCAAACCTCGCACTGCTGGCATGGCCGTATCGGCCTACGCTTCGGGACTAGCCCGAGCCTCGCTCCAGCGTAGCACTAGCAAGCTCGCACGCACCGCGTTACCGTTTTGCATGTTTCGCGTATAAATGTTCGCTCATGCCTTCGCTCACATTTTGTACTCGTTTGACACCTTAGTGCAATTCTCGCTACCTCGATTCATTGCACCCGTAACACATCCACAAATTTGACCTCCAGGTTGCGCCATGGAAAAGTACAGGTTTTGTTTCGTTCTCGACCAACCTGCCAGCCGCCGAGAAGAAACAGCAATGTAGCCAGGAAGTCTGAACGAGCTTCGCGAATAAAGAATTCTCGCTGGACACGATGACGTAAGTTGACGGATGCGAAAGTGTTCGCCGACCTCGCCGACAATCACCGTCCCTTGAGAGAGCGCCGCGCTGTTTCACAGTCACCTGACGCAGGGCAAACGGGCTCTTCGCATTCGTTTCGCCGCCACCTGGGCCGCCGCGAACTGGAATAAATGCAAAGCACGTCCGCCTCGAATCTGCATTGAACCACTCAATCGAACCAGACCGCGGTCCTCGCCTGGACCTTCTCGTTGAATTTGCATTTCTCTCATCATCACGAAAATCTTCGCCAGACAAATTGTTGTACGCTGATATTTTGGGATGCAAAATTCCCGTGAGACGGTGCGTTACATTTCTCGCAGGGCTAGGGTTAGGCGCGACAAATACCTCTCGCTTCGCGAAAATATACCAATCGCAAAGTTCTACTCACGTCTCTTTCTATTTGTTCCGACGGGAAGTTGTGTTTCGTCGCGATACTTACGTACGCGACATCGCAGGCCCGCGTATTTCCACGGGCAATGGCGGCGCTGCCTGTCCTCGTGGCGCTTCTCTCTCTTGTCTCTCTGTCGCAATCAGGTGCGCGCCTCCACGCACCCTCTCCGGATCGCCGTCGTGCGGCCGCTGCCGCGGATTTTCACCGTTTCGCAACTTTCCGCATCGCGTTCCCCTATTTCCGAGTCGCCGCAATGTCCGGCCCATTCCGGCGGTGTCATTGAGAACCCTCAATTCTCCCTGACATCACCCGCTTAAGATAAATATTATTCCTTTCTCCCCTTCGCTGCTCCGTGTTCCCCGCCACACGTCCCGCATTTCCCCGGCTCCGCGCAGCGCCGTGCCTCCTCCCCCAAGTGACGATCAACGTAACGCGCGAGTCCCACCTCTACCTTCGAAAGAACTACCCCGCCAATCAGGTGAGCCGCTCAAGTGACCCGCCAATCAGGTGAGCCCCTCGGGTGCCCCGCCAATCACGTTAGCCCCTCAAGTGACCCGCCAATTAGGTGAGCCCCTCGGGTGACCCGCCAATCAGGGTGTGAGCCGCTTCTCTTGCCCTCCCCTTGCCGTTCCTGTCCCCTGCTCCACTAGTGCACCACGGAGAAGGTTTTTGCCAAAAAAACGCTTTCAAAAAGGTTGTCTGCACACTTCCGAAAGGCGTTGGTGGTGCAGACAGCAAGTAACACTTGGAGTCGTCTCACCTACGTTGAATCGAACCCCCGTTTGCTAAATCTGTTTTTTGAGAATTCTCAAAAATAGGGCTTCCGGAAGGCGTTGGTGCAGACAGCAAGACACACTTGGAGTCGGTTCACTTACGTCGAATCCAACCCCCCTCTGCCTGCCCCTTGCCATTCCTCTTCCCTGCTTTACCAGTTCGTGACGATGGTGCTGCCGGAGCATCCAGAACGGAAGCATCCTGAACCACTTCCCCTTTGGTGATGTAGGGTGTGTTTGAGATTTCCCAAAATCACCCTACACCACGATGGTGCTGCAGGCGAGCACACAGCACGGGAGCATCCTGAACCACGTCCCCTTTCTGCCTTCCCCCTTGTTTTGAGTCGACTCAAAACATGACTCATACTGCACGGGAGCATCCTGAACCACGTCCCCTTTTTGCCTTCCCCCTTGTTTTGAGTCGACACAAAACACGACTCATACAGCACGGGAGCATCCTGAACCACGTCCCCTTTTTGCCTTCCCCCTTGTTTTGAGTCGACTCAAAACACGACTCATACAGCACGGGAGCATCCTGAACCACGTCCCCTTTTTGCCTTCCCACTGGTTTGCACGTCCCTGTTTCTCTGTCCCAACCAGTACGTGACGATGGTGCTGCAGGCGAGCATACAGCTGACAGACACGTTTGTGATGGACGCTAAGTTCAGCTGCACTGTCTTCCGCTCTGCCACAGACCGCGGCTTTGACCTCATCTCACCCTCCGTCAAGTAAGTCCCCACCGCTCTCGACCTTTCTCCACCCCTTTTTAAGCCTCCGAACCAGCTCTGAGTGTTCAGCTGCACTGTCTTCCGCTCCGCCACAGACCGCGGCTTTGACCTCATCTCGCCTTCTGTCAAGTATGTGCCGCCTCTCTCCACCGCTCTCCACACCTTTTTTACTACTTCCACCCCTCTCCAACACGAAGTTTACCTGCACCGCGTTCCGCTCTGGCACGGTCCACGTTTTTTACCTCATCTCGCCTTCTGTAAGTATGTCTTTCCTCTCTCCAACTCTTTCCACCGCTCTCCAACACTCTCCACCAACCAGCACCCTCTCCATTGTCTCATACCCACGTGCTTCTTCCCTTTGATTCTCCCATCCAACGTATCTCCCCTTCTCTCTCCTCTCCTTTCCATCGCCCCCTTTTCCTCACTTCCTCCTACCAGTTTCCTCACACCCCATTCCCCTCTCACTCCCTCCCCGTCCAACCCCCCCTTCCCCCCTCACAGCACCATGGTAACGAAAATCGTCAACACCAACAATGTGCTAGTGATTGGGGTAAATTTCAAGATGCCCGTTTCGACTGTCAGGCAGTTGGACTGTAACTACATTGAGACGCGCTATCGTGACTACATCGGCAAATACGCTTGCCCTGCTGTGTGGCTGTACCGAGTATGGGGTGTACAAGTGGTGCAGGTACATTCAGTCCCTTTCACACCCATTCTACAGCCACTCCACTGCATTTCCTTTTCTCTGCGCCGTAAGAGCTACAGATAACGAGGAATAGCTTTTAATACTCCTCCTCCTCTCTCCTCTCTCCTCCTCCTCCTCTCTCCTCTCTCCTCCTCCTCCTCCTCCTCCTCTCTCCTCTTCAGGGCAACGTGTATGGGCGAGTTGAGGTGGCGAGAGCAAATCGCTCGCGGATCGACTCGATGAACGTGCTCGTGAAGGCAACGAATCAGCCCGGAGCCATTGTGGTGATGCTGTCAGGGGACGGACCCAACCTCATCCGCAGTGAGGTGGTTATTTCTAACAACAACATCCGGACAGAGGGCACCATGGGCCAGGGCGCCACGTGAGTAAATCCGGGACAGCAGCTCCTTTTTTTTTCTCTCAATTTTCTGTTCTGGGTGTAGGTCACCTACCTTATGCTTCCATGTGCAGCAATGCGTTTGAGTCCCATTTGAGAATTCTCACTTTTGAGTGATCTTTTCAAAGTTGCAGCAGTGAAACGTGCAGGAGAGTCAAGAATGTGCTGCTTCCAGATGTTTGAAGTTCTGGTTTCTTGCCCTCTATCCTCCCCTGCCCACCACCACATTCACTCCAGTGTTGGCATAATGCTGTTCTGTGGAGCAGTGGGCGTGAATATCATTGGCAACCGCCTATCATACTTCACCCTCAACAGTATCCAGATGGGATTGGGACAGAGAAACGTGGGTGACGCCATGCTCACCCTCGTGGCCCTCTGTTCTCTCCCGTCCCATTCATCCCCCATTTACTCCAGTGTTGGCATAATGCTGTTCAGGGGAGCAGTGGGCGTGAATGTTGTTGGCAACCGCCTATCACACTTCACACTCAACAGTATCCAGATGGGATTGGGGCAGAGAAACGTGGGAGACGCCATGCTCACCCTCGTGGCCCTCTGTTCTCTCCCATCCCATCCATCCCCCATTTACTCCAGTGTTGGCATAATGCTGTTCAGGGGAGCAGTGGGCGTGAATATCATTGGCAACCGCCTATCACACTTCACCCTCAACAGTATCCAGCTGGGGTGGGGGCAGAGCAACGTGGGAGACGCCATGCTCACCCTCATTGCTCAGAACGACTTCGTTCACGGCTTCGGGCAGCTCGGGGACAGTGCGGGTATTTACTTCAACACGCACTGGGTAAACCCCGGAAATGTCCTCCGGTGCAACTACGTGCGGGGCGGCGGGCACTGCTTGTACTTCGACTGGGTGTCGTCGGGAGTGATTGTGGATGGGCTCGTGTGCGATCAGACAGCCGATGGACTGAAGCTCAACACTGGGAAGAAGTGAGTACAAGGGCACTCTGTCACTTGCTTTTCCAACGCTCCACTCTCTCCGCCACATTCCACCTCATTCCACCGCATTCCACCTCATTCCATCCCATTCCACCTGTTCTCTGCCCCTCGTGTGTTGTTCCAGTAACGAAATTCGTGGAATGGTGGTTATAGACAGCAAGCAGCCTTTAGCGGGGTACATCTCGTGCCAGAACTACGGAGTGAACAACTGCAACAAGCCCAACGGGATCAGGTGGAACAACGACCTTCTCACCTACTACCAGACGCCAGGGATCAAGAAGGTGAGCTACCTTGCAACTGTTTTTTAGAATGAGTAATTTGGGTTGTTTGGACCCATTCACAAGGGCTATGCCTTTGGGTTTTGCGCTCATGAAAATTATTCTTCAGTGCTTTTATACCTTTCGTTTTTCCTCCCTCCCGGATGCCTCCCCACCAGCTCTTCCCCTTCCTCACCAAATTCTGCAACAAAACCTCCATCAACGGAATATACTGCAATGAGGGCACTTCAACCACTCCCGGACCTAACATTACGGGCAGATGTTCCGGGCTACCCACCGAAAACATTGCCGAGATCGTCACAGCAACCACTGATAATTCCACCCGCCTTGTTATCCACCACTCCAACTGCAATCCCTTCATGGCCATGCCAAAACTAAACAAGCTGACCTACCTGCCCGTGAAACTTAGTGCTGCCGGTTTCAGGAGTGTGGAGAACCGAGACTTTGGCCTTCTTGACAGCTCGCAGATCCGGGCAAAGCTCCCAACTTTTCGAGGCTGCCCGGTGCAGGACATTGGCCCGAAAAATGTGCCTTATACAGAATACTTCGCCCTTTTCAATCGTGACGTTCCATTGATGGTGCCGATTGCTGCCCGGCCTGCATCGGTCGGAAAGAATGGGAGCGCATCGAGCAATGTGGGGTATGGTGGAGGGAAGGTGTCTGGGAAGGTGACGCTACAGCCGAATCCGTATGCTACAACCAAGTGGAGTCCGCAACTAGAGCGAGAGCTGCGGCCTGGATTCATGGTGACCATGCGGGAGTGGATGAGGTTCAATGCACGGCACCCCGGTCGCCAGCCACCCCCCCTGCAGAAGGCATGAGATGACTTTTGAGTCGACTGAAAAGAAAGATGCAGCTTGGATTCATGATGACCATGCGGAAGTGGATGAGATTCAATGCACCGCAACCTGGCCGTAATCGGGCGCCCCCGCAGAAGGTGTGGATGTGTGGTTATTGGTGTAAATTACAAGTATGCCATCCCATTTGTTGTATAAATTATTAATTCATGTTGTATGTCTTCAATCAAAGTTCGCTATTTTAGGTAGCCATACCTTACCCACCAGCCCAGCAATGTCCTCGCATGCATGATTTATGAAAGAGTTGTAGCGCCCCACACCAAATAAATTGGGGTGACTAGCCAGCAGCACATACGTCATGGTGCGAAAGCATTACATATTCCATGCGTGCAATCCACTGACATCACAAATTGCGAGTTTTTATCCTGGAACTCAAGAAAAAATTAACAAAAATTCATGAAAAATCTGCGGGTACACGAGGAAAAAGGTGGATACGGTGAGGTGGTGGATGTGGTGGGAGAGTGGAGAGGATGTTTGAAACGGAAATGATGGGTGTAACGTAATGCTCGTGAGGTCGAGTTGAATATATTCAAAAGCGTACACATTGTAGCTGGAACATGGCAACGACTTGTGCTCGACAGGTGACCTGAACTCCTCACCACCGCACCAAAATTCAGAGTGGCAGGTCACCACCGCACACCACCAGCCAGGCACACCCTCATCAGAGGGCGGCATTCGTGTCCTTTCTACACGTTGTGCGATAAGTTACAGTACTTTCTTCTCTCGACCGTCATCCTCCATGTTCGGACAAAGAAGAGACCTGGTTGGTGGTGGTGTCATCCTTCCGATGGCGTCACGCCAAAGTGCATGGTTGGTTCTGTTTTCGATCAACCTGCCAGCCGCCAGAAACGGAGCAGCATTGCTGACGCGCTGTGCTTGGCGAAACGACGATTCTAATTGTAACATGAACATCTGTCTTCGTCATCAGCTTACTCACCACAGAGTGATCACAGTTGACGGCTGCGGCAATTTTCGCAGAGCTCGTCGACAAACACCGTCCCCTGAGAGTGCGCATCGCTGTTTCGCAGTCACCTGATGCAGAGACATCGGGCGCTTCTCCCTCGCATCAGCACCAGCTGCCGCCGCCCCATCCTCGAATAAATACAAAGCACGTCCGCCCTCCGATTCTCCCATCCATGTCTTCCTAGACCAGACCAACACTCGACCTGAACCAACCCATGGTATTGTCCCACACCCACCTCGCACATGCCCTTCTCCTGTACCAGATCCCCCCTCCCTTGGCTCTATGTTCCCTTCGCGCACACCTACTATTGTATGTACCTTTTCCTAACTTCAAATCTCTGCTTCATTCAAGTGGCTCCTAAACGTTTTCTCGACGCGGATACTAGCTCCTCTGTCGTTCCGTGTCTTCGATATGACCCGCTTCTGGTAACCCCGAACCGCCCTGTAAACTGATCAAGTACCCCCCTAGCAGAAAGATTGAAGGGACCTGTAGTTACAAGCGTACAGCACTCCACGCGCGGATCACGTTACGTGACACCTGCTGTCGCGTCGGCCCAGCTTGTCGTGCTTCCTGAAGAGATATTTCAGAATGCGGAGATTCCGTGAGACGGTGCGTTACAATTTTCGCGCGGCGAGGGTTAGGTGTGTCGATCACCACGCGCCCCGCGGGACGGCGCATCCGCAGAGTACCCAAAATGATAGACCCTTTCCTTTTCGACAGGCAATTCTGTTTTTTCCAGCTGTTACGCTTACGATTACAATACGCGCGAGTCTGACTACCACCCCTTCGAATCCGCTGTTCGCCTTGATCGCAGGCCCGCCTCTTTCCAATGGCGGCGCTGGCCGTCGTTGTGGCCCTTCTCTCTCTCGCCTCTCTGTCACAATCCGGTACGCGTATTCACATACCCTTCCCATTCGTTCCCGCTGCTCCTCGTGTCGGCGTCTTGCAAAAATTTCCATTCACATTCCATACTTCCATCCTTCCATCCATTCTCCAATAACGTTACCCATCCCTCCCCCCTCCCCGCATCGTTTCCTCTCCGCTGCTCCGTATTCCCCGCTGCACGTGCTGCCGCTTTCCCGTTCCGCGCAGCGCCGCCGTGCCTCCTCCCCCGAGTGCTGATCAACGTGACGCGCGAGTCCGACCTCTACCTTCGAAAGAACTACCCCGCCAATCAGGTGCGCCTCTTGGAACTTTTAACTCAGCGAGCCTCGCGCTGTTCGCCTTCCCTTCCTCGGCGCGTGCTCCCCTGCGCCCTCCCTCGCGCTCTTCCCTTCCGTTCCTTAGAATCGGATTATATTTTCTTCGACGCCCTTCCGCGTCGTTTTCGCGCCGCACGTTATCGCGCCGCACGTTTTCGCGCCGCACGTTAGCACTTCCCTATGATTACCCTCCCCAACATCAGTACGTGACAACGGCGCGCTCAAGGCGACCGCTCAGCCCTGAGACTTCCTCAAACGCGGCTTTCCTTCGTTTCCTCTGCACCCGTACGCCTCCCCTCCCCAACATAAGCAGTGCATGACGATGGTACTCAAGGCGAGCATAAACCTGAGGACACGTTCGTGATGGACGCTAAGAGACCTTTGACTCGACTCACACCCCAAACCCCACCGCCCGTATGCCCTGTCCCTTGCGCACTCGCAGTACGTGACGATGGTACTCAAGGCGAGCATAAACCTGACGGACACCTTTGTGATGGACGCGAAATTCAGCTGCACCGTCTTCCGCTCCGATATAGACCGCGCCTTCGACCTCATCTCACCTTCTGTCAAGTATGTGACACCTCTCTCCACCGCTCTCCACCCCTTCTCAACTCTCGCTCTTTAATGCGAAGCTCAGCTGCACCGTCTTCCGCTCTGACACAGACCCGCCTTTGACCTCATGTCGCCCTCCGTCAAGTATGTGCTGCTTCTCTCCACCCCTCTCCACCGCTCTCCACAGCTCTCTACTCCGCTCTCCACTCGCTCTCCACTCTCCACCGCTCTTTACCGCTCTCTACGCCGCTCTCCACCACTCTCCACCCCGCTCTCCACCGCTCCCAGCTCTCCACTGCTCTCCACCAACTCTTCCTCTCTCTCCACTTTCTCATGCCGCCATGTGCTGTTTCTCATTGTTTTCCCCATCTAATATATTTTCTCCCTTTCCTTCGCCCCTTTCCCCTCACCCGCTTCTTTTCACCCCTTTTCCCCACCTCCAGCACCATGGTAACGAAAATCGTCAACACCAACAATGTGTTGGTGATTGGAGTGAATTTCAAGATGCCCGTTTCGACTGTCGGGCAGCTGGACTGCAATTATCTCGAGACTCGCTATATCGACTTCATCGGCAAATACGCTTGCCCTGCTGTGTGGCTGTACCGAGTGTGGGGTGTACAAGTGGTGCAGGTACGCTCTCAGTCCCTCTCACGTCCACTGTAACACTCTGCTGCATTGTATCCCCGTCTCCATCCTATCTGCCCTTCCTCGTCTTTCCATCCCCCTCACCTTCCAACCCTCACCTTCCAACCCTCACCTTCCAACCCTCTTCATATCCTACCCCCCTGATGGTCCTGTCCTCCTCATCTCCTCTTGAATCCAGGGCAACGTGTACGGGCGGGTGGAGGTGGCACGGGCGAACCACTCGCGGGTCGACTCAATGGACGTGCTCGTGAAGGCCACCAACCAGCCCGGAGCCATTGTGGTGATGCTGTCAGGGGACGGGCCAAACCTCATTCGGAGTAACGTGGTTATATCCAACAACAACGTCCGCACGGAGGGCACCATCGGGCAGGGCGCCGCGTGAGTCTCTCTGCTTTGGTTCTGATTTTGGTTACTTCAGTGCAGATATGTGAGCGTATGGAGCAGCAGCGTGGTTATTTCCAACAACAGCGTCCTCACGGAGGGCACCATCGGGCAGGGCGCCGCGTGAGTCAATCTGGGGAGGTCTGGGATGGGTTTGCATTTGGTCTGTTCAGTGGAGCGGTGTAAACATGTGAAGCAGCAACGTGGTTATTTCCAACAGCAACGTGGTTATTTCCAACAGCAACGTCCGCACGGAGAGCGCCATCGGACAGGGCGCCGTGTGAGTCAATATGGAGGAAAAGCGTGGGCATTTGTAGCAGCGATGTGATCTCATCTCCAACATGTAACCCTCCTTTCCTTTTTTTTATTGCAGTGTCGCCAACAAGCTAAATGAGGGAGCAATGGGCGTCATTGTCATCGTCATCGGCAATTGCAATTCACCCTCGCAAGCTTGCCCCCTTCCCTGTTGACCTTCCCTATTGACTCCCCTCCCTTCCCCATTGCAGTGTTGGCATAATGCTATATCGGGGAGCAGTGGGAGTGGACGTCATCGGCAATCGCATATCGCACTTCTCCCTTGCAAGCCTGCAGCTGGGGTGGGGGCAGAGCAACGTGGGAGACGCAATGCTCTCCCTGGTCACCAAAAACGATATCGTTCACGGGTTCGGCCAGCTGGGGGATAGTGCGGGTATTTACCTCGACACGCACTGGGTAAACCCCGGGAATGTCCTCCGATGCAACTACGTGCAGCGGGGCGGGCACTGCTTGTATCTCGACTGGGTGTCGTCTGGAACGATCGTGGATGGGCTCGTGTGTGAGCAGACTGCCGATGGGATGAAGCTTAACACGGGCAAGAAGTGAGTATAAGGGCCAAAGTGGGCTCAAGGGAAGAAGAAGCAAGTTGAAGCTCTTTCACTTGTACCGATTGACACCAATGGTGGCGTCGCCCTTCTGACTTATAACCAACCTCTTATTACAAGAGGGGTTTGTGACTCACTGTTTTCGCTCTGCACCTCTTTGCTCTAACCCCTCTCCTTGTGTGTTCCAGTAACGAGGTGCGCGGAATGGTGATTATAGACAGCAAGGAGCCGCTAGCAGGGTACATCTCGTGCCAGAATTACGGAGTGAACAACTGCGACAAGCCCAACGGGATCAAGTGGAACAACGACCTGCTCACCTACTACCAGACGCCAGGGATCAAGAAGGTGAGCCGCTGTGACGCCTCAGAGGTTTAGCGGAATTCCTAAAAAGGAATCAGGTGGAACAACGACCTGCTCACTTATTACCAGACGCCAGGGATCAAGAAAGTGAGCTGATGTCTTCCAATATTTCTTCAGTCCGAGTGTAGGGAGGGTTGTTTTGTCAAATTTTCCCTCTTCTCTCCTTCCTCCACCCTAGCCCTTTCCCCACCAGCTTTCCCCTTCCCTTGTCAACTCCACTGTTAAAACTGCCATCAAAACCATCAGTTGCAACCATCAATTGCTTTCCTCTTATCTCCCTGCCCTTTCGCTCCTTCCCCCCCCCCCACCTTGCCCCTCCTCCCTCCTGCACCCCTCCCCACCAGCTCTTCCCATTCCTCACCAACTTCTGCAAAAAGACCTCCATCAATAAAATCAACTGCAACGAAGGCAGTTCGTCCACTCCCGGGCCTTCCGCCACAGGTAGATGTTCCGGGCTGCCCACCGAAAACATTGCCGAGATCGTAACAGCCACGACTGATAATTCCACCCGCCTTGTTATCATCCATTCCAACTGCGCTCCTTTCACCGCCGTGCCCAAGTTAAACAAGCTGACCTACCTGCCCGTGAAACTTGGCGCTGCGGGGTTCAAGAGCGTGAAGAACCGTGACTACAGCCTGATTTCCGCTTCGCCAATTCTGAAAAAGTTTTCTTCTTTTCGGAGCTGCCCGGTGAACGAGATTGGCCCGCAGAACGTGTCCTACGCTACATATTTCAACCTTTTCAACCTCGCTATGCCAGTCATGAAGCCGATCGCCGCCAAGCCTGCGTCCATTGCAAAGCCCGGGAGCATATCAAGCCTTGCGGTGTATGGAGGCGGGGAAGTGTCTGGTGATGTGACGCTACAACCGAATCCATATGCTACAACCAAGTGGAGTGCGGAGCTGGAACGGGAGCTCCGCCCTGATTTTATGCTGACAATGCGAAAATGGTTGAGGTTCTATGCTCGTCACAGTGGCCGCCAAGCAGCATGGCGGCAAAAGGTGGAACGTTGAGACCCAAACTTTTCATACCCGCACAAGAATACCGTATCCATCATTCGTTTATTATTTGTAATACCCCAATAAATTTATTGCTAGCCATTTCCAAGGTTTCAGGTTCTGTCCATCCATTGGTTTCGCTGCCTCTTAACTTCCTTTTTTATAATATGTTTTATGAGTGCAAGCACATCAGCAGTGGTAACCGTTATGTATCACTGTTATAAAGACCTTCGTTACCGAGGCTGTCAATGTAGAGAGTACCCCCCTTGCTTCAAACCATCTCTAGGTTCTGATTGTTTGGTCTGTTCCACCAAAATTCTCCACCTTGCCGAGCTTGGTCCGAGCCGTAGTTACCCAATTCCAAGAATTATACCGAGCTGATCTTGGACTCTCCAAGTCAAATGGTTTTGCCAGAGTTTGGCGTCTATATTGTTAGTGAGTCTATTCTGTAAGTCTGCCTTCGGCCGCTAAAAGTCATTTTTGTATTCATCCACCTTTACTGCCCGTGCTAAACCTCACGACTTGTCGTGTAGGGTTGTTGAATTAATGAAGCACCGCACGATTCCCCACATGCGGGGACATGTTCTGTCGTAACCCGATTTGTCGGCGATGGTCCGAACGCTGCCGAACTCAGAATTCGCAACGTGGGGAATGCCGGCCACCCACGACGCTTGTGAAGTTTTCGCCATCGTCACATCTCATGTGCTGCTGAGATGGGTAAAGCCTACCCCTTCCCACGGCAGGTCGTTGATGATGGTGACGGTGATTGGTTGGGTTGGTTGGTTTGGGAGAACCGACCGAACCGAAAGCAGACAGGATGGCTGTACGCACTTCCCTGGCGATCGCATAAGCGCTGGCGCGGGCTTGCGCAAACCCTCCAACCACACTGCCCAGCCAGCCAGCCTACCTCCACGGCGGCCCGAATGTGGTGACTGCACCGTGCCGCGAGCATTCTGTTTCCCCGGTTTCGCGGTCCGAACCCTCGCGAAAGTTCCTCCATCGCAACCATGGAGAGCGCGGGGCGGGTTCGCCGCCGGTATGGATGCGCCGTTCAACGAATTCCATCTGCATTGTCGTGAATTGCGACGCTACCGTACCACAAAACGAATTTCGGCAACCTCGCTGGCCCGACGGTGCTGTCGCAGCCCCAACGGCCGTTTCGCAAACCATGTCAGCCTCCCCCCCCCCCACTCCCCCCCCTCCATTTTCTTCCGACAGCAAGCCAAACCAATGCCACAACCGTTGCTCGCTCCTCCCAGAGTTGCCTTGTTGAGAGCACCCACCGCATTCACATCCTTTACAGAACCTCATCACCGCTCTAAACCATATTTTGCAGTGATCTAGATCAACATCACCAGCACTTTCTCAGCACCACCACGATCAACAGTTTTCTCAGAACCATCCCACCCAGTCGGCTGCCTGGACTCTCAACAACCTCCTTGTCCAGTGCTAGTAATTGTCCAAAAGCGAGTAGTACGTATATATTCCTACCGTGTTCCACCTTGTCCTACGATAATAACCCCACGAAATCCCGATCTTGCTGCGTCTCGACTTAGTTACCGTGATCTCCAGCCGCCTTGGGCTTGTCTTTTCCGAGTTCTGCTTCCAAAAGCAATCCTATTGATGCTCGAGTACTGCTGTCTTTGAGCAGACCACTGCTTTTCAAACAAGGTTCTCGAATCATTCTGACGAGTGCGATAGTTGGTGTCTTAGACCGTACGGCATGAGAAACGGAGGCTCGTCGCCGCCGCGTCCGAGAGTCCCCATGGCGTCGCACATGGCATGGCTCCTCACACTCTACGCCCTTTCCGCTCTTCTCCTCTCCGCCGCTGTGCGACAAGGTACGTCTTCGCTGTACAGCCCCCCCACGCTCTCCTACAGTAAAGCTATACAGCACCCTTGTACACAAACGAACACCCGATGTAACAAACTTCCGGTAGCGAAACGTTGTATAGCGAAACTCGCAAAGCGAGCATACAAGTATCAACAGCGAACGTACCAACAGCGAAGGTTATGCAACCTGTCCCGGAAATCTCCTCTGAGTCCGGTGACGGGTCATCTTACTCGCTTTCCTTCTCCCCGTGTTTCCCCTCTCGGCTGCTCCGCCTTTCCCCCCCCCCCCCCCCCCCCGCCTCTCACTCCTTCCGGGCCGCTGCTCCAGTGACCGCGGGGCCGTGCACAGTGAGCAATCCGGTTCCCGAGATCAACATCGCAGCAGAGGCCGACTTCGCCAAGCGAACCAAATACCCAGCCACGCAGGTACGTTCATTTCTGACCCGCGCATGTTTTTGCTGCGAGGCAGCGAGGTAAACAGTAGGGAGCCCGTTCCTGCTGCGATGAAAGTTCTACTGCTTGTGGTGAGGCGCCTCACCGCACCGCCTTCCCCATTCCCCCTTATCCATTTTGCTTCTCACTCACCCCGTCTCCCTTCTCCCCCCTCTCCCTCCCAACCCGTTTCCCGCCGGCATCGCCCTTTCCCAGGCACATTCGTTGCGCGTATTATTAACGGCAGCCATCGACCTGTAAACCTCCCCCACCCTTTTCCCCCCCTCCCCCCTCCACCAACTCTGCTTCCCAGCTCCCCAACCCAACCCCGTCCCTCCACCTTCTCCGTTGCCCTCCGCCTTCCCCCTACCGACATTTAGTGCGCATGCTTCTGACGCCGGACATGAAACTGAAGAACCCAGAGACAATTCTCAAGTCTCCCCCTTTTCCCATTCCCCCTTCTGCCTTCCCCTTTCCCCTTTCCCCTCTATCCCAGCTAGTGCGCATGTTTCTGACGAAGGACTTGAAGGTGAAGAATCCGTTGGTGCTGGACGGCAAGTTCAACTGCACCGTGCTGCGCTCCAAAGGCACCAAGAAATTCACGCTCTCCGCCACCGATAAGAAGTGAGATGTCCCCAAACTCCCTAGAAAGCACTAACTCGTTAAAAGCACTAGTGGCAACAAATAAGTACACTTTTCTAATCGATTTACTCTCCTTGTCCCCGACCTCCCTGCCGGTCCCATCCCTTTCCCACCACCAGTTACCCTCCCATGCGAATAGTCTTCGCCAGCAACATCCTCGTTAACGGCATCAACGTGAGAGGTTTCGCACCATTGGCTTCCAATCCCGACTGCCAGTATCTCGAAACACGTTACATTGACTTCATCGGCAAGTGGAAATGCCCCGCGATCTGGCTGTATCGCGTATGGGCGGTCCAGGTCACGCAGGGACGAACCTTCGGCCGGATCGAAGTATCCCGCGCGTCGCACACGCGCATCGACTCCATGACCGTTAACGTCCACCCGTTAGATTACCCCGGGGCGATCGTCGTCATGCTGTCCGGCGACGGGCCAAACCTCATCCGCAGCAACGTGCTTATAACGAACAACAACATGATCGCGCAGGGACCGTCCGGGAAAGGCGCGGAGATCGGGCTGATGCTGTATCGAAACGCGGTGGGCGTGAACGTGTTTAACAACCGCATCTCGGAGTTTTCGCTTGCGAGCCTGCAGATCGGGTTCGGGCAGTCGAACGTGGGTGACGCGATGCTGAGTAACGTGATGCGGAACAACATGGTGCACACGTTCTCGACGCTCGGCGACTCGGCGGGGATTTACATGGACACGCACTGGGTGAACCCTGGGAATATCCTGCGGTGTAACTATGTGCGGAGAGGCGAGCACTGCTTGTACCTCGACTGGGTGTCGTCTGGAGTTATCGTGGATGGGCTCGTGTGCGATCGGACGGCTGACGGCCTCAAGCTTAACACCGGGAAATAGTGAGTCAACGCTGGTCAACGCTGGTCAATGATGGTGTTTTGTGGGTCAGCGTTGGTCAATGGTGGGAGGTAGTGAGTCCAAGGTGGTCAAGAATTCCTCTCCCCCTTCCAGTTTCCCTCCTTAGCTTCCTCTATCTTCCCCGTCCTCCCTTTCCCCAACCCCTCCCCTCCCCCCCCCCGCCTCCCCCAATCCCCCCTGTTCCCCCCCACAGCAACCACACCTTTTCCCCGCGTCAGCGTTCTCAGCAGCATACATCTCATGCCAGAACTACAACGTGAACTCCCCCTGTGCTAATTTCTCCAACTCATCCCCCTCCTTTTCCCTTCCTTTGCTCTCTTCCCCCTCCCACCCACCCCTTTCCACACCTCCCTGTTCACCCCACAGCAACCACATACAAGGCATGGTGGTGATTGACGCGTCGGCGTTCTCAGCAGCGTACATCTCATGCCAGAACTACAACGTGAACAACTGTAACCAGCCCAACGGCAAGAAGTGGAACGACGAGCTGATCAAGAACTACCAGACCCCGGGGATCAAGAAGGTAAGAGAGAGGCACTCTTCCCTTCCCTGACCCATCTTCCATACTCCCAGTGTTTCCCTGCCTAACCATCAACTTGCCCCACGTGCATTGAGGCTGCCCCACGTGTCATCAAGTGCAGGCTCTTTGCATGTCTAAGCTTCGCATCTCGTGTCCCTCCCTAGCTTCATCCCCCCTCTTCCCACTTCCTCCACCTGCGAATTCCCCTTTTCCCGTCCCAGTTCTCCCCCTACGTCGCCGGTTCCTGTGCCTAAACAGCATTGACTTTTCAGACAGTTGATTCAATCTCTCCCCCATATTCTCTCCTTCCCATCCCCCCTTTCCCTCACAGTTCTTTCCCTATCTCACTAATTTCTGCGCCAAGAAAGCACTTTACAACATCAACTGCAACCAGGGGAGCCAGTACGGTGCTGCTGTCACCGGTGGCTGCTCAGGCCTTCCAACCGAGAATTACGCGGAAATCGTCACGGCGATGACCGATAATTCCACCAAGTGGGTGTTTTATCAGGACAACTGCAAGCCGTTCCCGGCAGTCCCGAAGCTGAACACGCTGCGGTATTACTCGACTTCGCTGGCGAAAGCTGGGTTCAAAAACGTCAAGGCGATGGATTTTGCCCTGACCAAGGGATCGCCGATCAAGAAGGCGTTTCCGCAGTTTCGAAGCTGCCCGACGAAGCTGGGCGGCCCGAAACAGGTGAATTTTCAGTCGTACATGAATTTATTCAACATTGCCAAGCCAGCGGAGAAACCGATTACAAGCATTCTCACGTACACGTTCAAGCCGGGCAAGTCAAACACGAATCCTGCTTCCGTCGCCAGCGTCGCGAGTACCAGTGATGGCAGCTTTGGAGATACCGCGGTGATGGCGACTGCTGTGGACGATGATGAGAGCAGCAAATTGGTGGTTCTCCAGTCCACCGAGAATGCTGATGAGCCAATCGTGCGAAATGCGGCGATGGATAGGAGCCATTGGACCCCCGAGCTCGCGAGGGAAATGAACCCGAGTTACATGAGGGCGTTGGCGAAGCGTCGACGAGCTCGAGGGAGGGTTCCCCCGCACGTTGGAATCAGGGTGTTGCCCAAAGCTGCTTAGAAGGGACAGGTATGTCCAGTAGATTCTCTTATTGATATATGTGACAAAACTGCTCCCATAGTAATTTGATTCTTTCATGTATCCTTGCTATGTTTGTATACTAAGCGAGCATCTCGCCTCACTGCAGACTCCCTAACCTATCCATGTACTATTCCTATACTAACCTATCCTAGCATCGGGCTGTGCCTGTGATGAACAGCTGGACCATTCATGCCATCAACTGTACCCACCTGAGGTGCCAGATCCATCCTGCATTCAACAGCCAATGAGACAAATTTTGCCGGCCTGTTGCAACCCAATTAGTGAGTCAACTCACTGTGCAACCTGAATACGTTACTGCAACTATCTCGTACAAACAAATCTACACTTACCTTCAGTCTACCATACATGAATGGTACGAAAATCAGAAGCCTTTGTCTGCAAGCCAAGCCGCACGAAGAGCTCAACCCAGTTGTCAGGCAGGCGCAGCAAGCAGGGATGCAGGCAGTCCATGCTCGCCCTGCCTTGCGATTCATTCTAAACTTTATTTCACTCGGTGTAACCTGAATACCGTAATACCGGTATACAGTACCGTAATAATCTGTCTCGTTATCACATACATTACACTGTCCTCTAGTCTAAGACTACCGTATACCATCAGACCAGAAGCCTTTGTCATATCAGCCATCCAAGCCGCATAAAAGAGGTCAACCCAGTTGTCTGGCAGACCCGGCAGGCACGGGTGCAGGCAGTCCATGCTCGTTGTGCCCTGTGATCCAATCATGGTGTCGGCACACCGTCCTACAAAGCTTCAACTTACATTACTCTGTGCAACCTGAACAGGTATGCTACCGAAAAGATCTTTGTGACATACAATACACTTTCGTCTAGTCTCAAGCTACACGACGGCATCAGAAGAAGCCTTTGTCTGCCATCCAGGCAGCGTAAAACAAGTCAACCCAGTTGTCAGGCAGCCCGGGCAGGCACGGGTGCAGGCAGTCCCTGCTAGCCTTGCCCTGCGACCCAATCATGGCATCGGCACGCGCGAGTGACGGGTGCGTGATGTCAAGGAGTCGCACACGCGAGTTCCGCCGCCCGAAAAGCTGCTTCTGCGTGCGGAACCAGATCTTGCTCTGTGCGTTCTTGGAGCGAAGGTAAGCCACCTGGGTGTAGGAGGGAATGAGGCACAGGGTAGCAGGATCAGATCAATCGAACCAGTCCAAGCCGTCGGCCCAATCAGGCCATTCAGGCCAGCAACCGCATTCATTCATACAGTGTGTACACCATTTCCCTGCATTCATTCATTCAGTGTATATACCATATCCCTGCATTCATTCATACAGTGAATATACCATATCCCTGCATTCATTCATACAGTGTATATACCATATCCCTACCATATCCCTGCATTCATTCATACAGTGTATATACCATATCCCTACCATATCCCTGCATTCATTCATACAGTGTATATACCATATCCCTACCATATCCCTGCATTCATTCATACAGTGTATATACCATATCCCTGCATTCATTCATACAGTGTATATACCATATCCCTGCATTCATTCATACAGTGTATATACCATATCCCTGCATTCATTCATACAGTGTATATACCATATCCCTGCCCTGGGGGGCTGGGAGTGACTGTGTACCAGCAGCCTTCCAGACAGGACGAGAGGAAGTAGGCCACGTGGCATGCATGCACACATACGTACATACATGGAACGAGTACTGCAATTCATACACTTACAACGTCCATGCATACACACGTCCATGCATACGCAGGTCCATGCATACCTGCGCCGGGGGGCTGAGAGAGACGGTGTTCTGGCAGCCTGCCAGGCGGGGAGGCGCCGAGAGAAAGTAGGCCACGTAGCGACCGCCTTTTCTCGATGGCTTGCGGCTCAGCCTCTCCCTCACCGCGTTCATTGCGCCCCTGAATGGATGAAAGGAGGGGTGTACAGGAGTGGAGAGTGATGGGGTGAGCTCAGAAGGATGGATGGAGGGGTGGAGGACTTGCAGCTGAGCCTCTCCCTCACCGCGTTCATTGTGCCCCTGGATGGATGAAAGGAGAGGTTTACGGGAGTGGGGTGCGGTGGGGTACGGTCAAAAGGGTGGAGGGGTGGAGGGCTTTCGGCTGAGCCTCTCCCTCACCGCGTTCATTGCGCCCCTGGATGGATGAAAGGAGAGGTTTACGGAAGTGGGGTGCGGTGAGGTACGGTCAAAAGGGTGGAGGGATGGAGGGCTTTCGGCTGAGCCTCTCCCTCACCGCGTTCATTGCGCCCCTGGACGAATGAAAGGAGGCGTGTGGCAGGTAGGGGAGGGGTGTACAGGAGTGGGGCGCGGTGGGTCTAGGTTACCAGGCGCATGTAGTGGAGGGGTCGTGGCTGAGCAGCTACCGCTGCCACACCGCATTCATGCCACCCCTAATGGTTGGGATGGGAGGTGGTGGAGGGAGAGGTGGAGAAAGGAGAGGAAATCACCCGTTACAAACTCACCAGTTACAAGCACACCCTTACAAGCACGACCATTACAAGCACACTCACGAGTACGCCTCAAAGGTGTCAGGCTGGCGCGGCAGCAGCTGCCACTTGCGGTCGGTGAAGAAGCGGCGGAGCCATTTGTCTGCATTCGGCCAGTGGGTGGCAGACTGCAGCAGCACCAGGTGCACGTGCGGCAGCAGCAGCGTCCAGTTGGGGTCCGGTTGAAAGAGGTTCACTGCGGTGTCACCGAGCGCTGGGTGCTGGACCTTAAGCCTCTTAAGTACCTGGGTGAGAAGAATGCGAGGGGGGGGAAAGGGAGGAGGTGGAGTAGGAAGCGAGGAAGGGGAAAGGAAGGGAGGGGCACGGTGATGGGGGGAGGAAGAGGAGAAACAGAGGGGTTGCGTACAAAAGAGTGGGGTGCTTACTTAGTTCATGCATGTCGACGCGACTGAATGCCGTACCTTGGAGTCGGAACTAAAGTCCATGAGAAAGGGGCTCCACACGTGGATGAGCGTGACTTTGTATTCGTCCACCGTCCACGTGGTCTGCTTGAAGCGACTGTCGTAGTTCACTTTGCGCGCGGGCGACGCGCGGTGCACTTGGCAGAGGAACGACGGGAAGAAACCCTCCCACATTAGCGAATCTCCCGCGAACAAGATGTTCCTGTAACGGGGATGGGGTGTTACGGGACGAATGCGGGTACTTGAAATGATGCGCGGTACGTTCGAGGGAGCTTTTGCTGATGGATGCCTTATGAATGCTGATGAATTCCAAAAGCCGTCCGCGCCTTTTGCATGGCTCGATGATAGTGGCAAGCTACTATGTGCGACAGCGGACAACTGCAGGAGACAGCCAGAGAAGGGGAACGATTGCGCACGAATGGGGGCGAATGGGGGCACTGGGGACGCATGGGGGCAGTTGTTGGCGAGTGAGGGCGATTGCGGGCGAACGGGGGTGAGTGGGGACCGGGGGGAGAAGGGGGCTCACTTGTTTCGCATCTTCTCCAAGAAGTTGCGCGCGTCAAATCGAAGGGGCTGCGCGCCGCACTCGTGCGCCTTCCACGAGTAACGCTGGCGGCACGGGATGCAATGCGATGGGATGGAATAGGATGGGCGAACCGAAGGGAGGAGAGACGTTGCTGAGACGGGGCACAATTCAGCAACGGAGCAACGACTGCTGTGATAAACAATTCAGCTGAGACGGAGACTGAACTTCCTATTCGTGGGCCTTCCATGAGTTGCTGGCACGGAGGTTCCCAGCCAGGTTGACTCGGATTGACCGCGTTGAGTTGCACTCACCATCCAGTTGCGATCGGGCCGCGAATAACGCGAGCCTAAGCAGTTAGTGGTAGTGGCGACCTCCTGCAAGATGGGAGGAGACGAGGTATGGGGAGACACAAAGTTCGAGAGATAGAGAGAGGCACGTAAGGGCTTTGAAATAGGGCTTTGAAATGGGGCTTTGAGATGGGAGGAGACGAGGTATGGGGAGACATAAAGTTTGAGAGATAGAGAGAAACGTTACGGCTTCGAGATAGGGCTTTGAGGTGGGAGGAGCTATTAACGGTGCGCTGCGGGGTTGTGCGCCGCCGTGCTTCGTGTTATACCTTTTTGGTTCGTACCGAGCCTAACTTCGAAACCTTTTTGGTTCGTACCGAGCCTGACTCTATACCTTGAGGTGTGGAAACGTGCTCTCATCACGCGGGTCGGTTATTGTCGTGCACCCACGACCCCGTCGTGAGACTGCAGCCGCGTGGATGCGCGTATTTCGTTTGTCAAGGGTCTGATTCCGTACCTTGAGGTGTGGACACGTGCTCTCGTCGTACGCGGGTCGGTTATTGTCGAGCACCCACGACCCCGTCGTGAGACTGCAGCCGCGTTTACCCCGCACCACTCGCATCGATCTGCGGTGGGCTTGCGCGAAAGCCGTTTCCTTTCCCTTCTCCGCTTTACCGCGTGTGACATTCGAGAATCCTTGGCCGAATTCTCGCGCTGCTTCGCTAGCCCATTCGTCGTGTGCTTCCGTTTCGCGTGCGAACGACAGTTCCTTCTCTGCGAAAGCCTGGCGAAACGCATCAGCCGGGTTACTGAGTCGGTCTGCAATCGCTGTTCTGTTGAAAGGAAACAGCATCCCGTCTCCAGCGGCTGCTGTGTTTGGCGAAGTGAGAATCATCAGAATGAGAAAAGAAGCGCCGATGATGGGAAGGTGAAGGGGTGAACGAAATCGGTTTCGCCCGCCCCGCCTGTCATCTAATAGTGCCGCTTGGTGCCGTGTACCCATCGTTTCGTTGGAAGCACAACTGCAAAAGAAACTATCTTGTGGTGCAAAGGACGAGGAGCCACGCTCGTCGCACGGTTTGAATGTAAAATCGTTAATTGAAGATTGGCCTTTACTCAAAATCTCCTAAAGCTCTGATCGCTTCTCGGCAGACGAAGAAAAAAAAAAAGAGGAAAGGGAGCAGTGGTGGGCAGTATTCCCCCCTAACACCAGATTCGTAAAAAGAAGGATCGATGTACTGGAAAGAGTGACTGGCTTCGTGGCACAAACAGGTAGTGAGGTACTTCTGTATGACAGTTGAGCAATGCCTGATCGAGATGAAGTTGCTGGTTGTGTTGGGTCGGTGGGACAAGAAGCAGTGATGAGATCAACTGGCAGGCAACATCTTGGACAAGGGTTGGTACAGGGGTGGAAAAGGGGGCGATAGGGGCGAATTTGGGTTCCATGCAATTCGCGATTCGGGACAAATTCCTCAGCTTCAGCTTTCCAATTTGCAGGAGCCATTGCCGTGATACAGTAACTTGTTTGTTTTGGGCAGGTAGCCTGCGGCAAGGGCAATATTCTTTCGCTTCGCACATTGGCTGCTGATTTCTGGAAGTCCCTCAACGACCAATAGCTGTTTTTGGGAACTATTGAAAACTACATTTGAAGCTGGGAAGAGGGGTGGAGTAGGGGGCACCGAACCGCGATTGGCAAATCCAGCCCTTGATCGAGCCCAAGCGCGTTTCGGGTGTAACATGGAGGTTTGGCTGAGCTTTGGCTTGGAAAAGCAGGCCGTCTCGAGCCAGCACTGAGGGAACCAGCCTTCGAACAAAGAGGCTCGGACAACGTGGTTCTCCATATCGCTCTTCCAAACCTCTTCGAGCCACAAGTCAGCCTCACTGTAAAGGGAGACTTCGAACCAGTCACTTGGGTGCTGGTCGAAACGCAGCGCGTTTGACAGATTGACCTAGGTTTGGTTCCAACCAAACCCGAAGTTTGATCACGTTCATCGCGGATGAACAACTGTAAAATATATGATAATAGTAAAACAGTTATTGCGCATATGTGTGAAAGTAGGCACTTTCAAACCTAGATTGATACTGTGGAACAGGGTCAAGTTTACTGGTTAAAGATGAGAAAAATGAACCAAAAAAAAAGGTTCCATGTACACTGAAGCACAATTTTGCGCATGTCATTGTTTCTGTGATGCAAATGCAACTTTCCGAACTAAAATTGTGCAAACTCCAAAGCATTCCCATCTGGATCACGGCAGAAAACAGCTGGCCGACCTGACTGGCTTATAGTGTAAGGAATTCCTGCATGTTGGCCACAAGCACAACACGCAATAAGGAGAAACAAGCAACAACAGAGGCCAAGAGATCTCCATGAGCAAATTTTATGAAGGGAAAGGAGACAGAGGTGCTGCATGACAGGCTAGCTGTCAAAAGCGCATTTCACCCTTCACTGTCTCATCTGATTATCGCATTTGGTCCCTTCCCCAACCTTCCTGCACGACCAACTCATGCCATCCATTTCACCCCATGCCATGCATGCCATCCCACGCAATGCATCCCATCCCATGCAATGCATCCCATCCCACGCAATGCATCCCATCCGATGCAATGCATCCCATCCCACGCAATGCATCCCATCCCATGCAATGCATCCCATCCCATGCAATGCATGCTCTTCAATGCCTTGCATAAATGCATCCCATCCCGTGCCATGCCAGTCATGCCAGCTTGTCACCTGCTCTATCCAGGGCGGCCTGTAGCGGTGCCACATCAGCAACCTCAATGCACGTGTGTCGGTCCCGACCGCCGTGCTCCGGTCTGCCAAATGTCGGATCAGGATTCGGCAGCACCATAAGGTGGATCATGCCGCCCCTGCTGCCCTCCCCTTGACCAATCCACAACCATTTGCCGCCATATGGAAGCTTCTGATTGGGCCGAGAATCATTCACCTCCAGGCCTGTTTCAGGGTTGAAAGCAATGCAACCGATGAAGGTTACAGGGAGGCAGAGGAGGAGGCGGGGAAGTTAAAGTTACATCGCACGCTCCCTGGTTTGCACATCCTATACCCTATACACACACCATTCTTGACCCCTTTTCAGATGTCAGCTGATTGCATGTTCGTTGTCCCTGCGTGGCTCTGCAACTTGCTCTGTTGTCCCACCACACCCACCCAGCCCATAGCTCTAGAGTAGAAGCAAATGGTGAACTCGTTTCTGTCTGCCATTTCCGTCTTTGAGAGACTTTCTGAATTACTCTACATTTGCTTCTGCTCTGCTCTACATTAACCAGTCACACTTTCACTGCTCTGCTCTACTCTTCTACTCACCCAGCGCACTGCAGTAGAAGCACAGAAATTTGACTTTGGAGTCAACCCGCCCCACACACTCACCCAGGGCACTGCAGTAGAAGCACAGTCATTTGACTTTGGAGTGAACCCCCCACACACACACTCACCCAGCACGCCGCAGTAAAAGTCAAGTGCCTTGTCCAGATCCGCGCACAATATCCCCACATGGTGCAACCCGATAAATGCAGAAGCAGGAGCTGGGAACGAGGGGATACAACAGGCGAATTGCAGGGAAAGAAGGGAGAACGGAGAGGGGCGAGGGAGGGAGATTGATAATAGTTGTAGTGGTAGCAGCAGACTGTCTCGTTCCTCTGCGGTAATAGGATGATAACGTTTCACAAAGACTCAGGATGTTAGCTCCTTGAGGTCTGCATACGCGCGGTCCTTGTCCCGCGTGGAGCCGATGTCGCCGGCCAGGCTTGTAGCTGAGGGCGAGCGAGAGGGGATAGCGATCATGTGAACATTGCTGAGGGTACCACCCTCGCGGCGAGCAGTTATATCATTGGCCCATGCCCTTGAGGTGTGCATACGCGCGGGCGGCGGTCCTTGTCCAGCGTGCAGCCGATGACGCCAGGCTCGTAGCTGAAGGCGAGGGGGGAGGGTGGAGGGTGGAGGGTGGGGGAGGGTGGGGGGTGGTGGTGCCGAAGACGATTTTCGAGTCGACTCAAAAGTCGAATTACCACACGTGGCTGTGGGCGAGGGGGGAGGGTGGGGGGTGGTGCCTACGCTTGGACACGAAGAGGGTTATTCGACGCCTTTGAGGTCCGCATATGCGCGCCGTCCTTGTCCTCTGGGTGTATGGAAGGGGAGCCGAGTTGGTACTTAGCGGGTTCCATGGCAGCGAGGCAGTCTAGGACAAACGGTAGGAGTCGGCTCGGCGATAAGAAGGGTGTTATCTCGCAAGCACTCTTCCCCGCGCTCTCCCCCGCACTCTTCCCCGCACTCTTCCCCGCACTCTTCCCCGCGCTCTCCCCCGCACTCTTCCTCGCACTCTTCCCCGCACTCTTCCCCGCACTCTTCCCGCACTCTTTTCCGCACTGAGTGGGCACTCCTAGGGTATTGGCCACATCGCCTCCAGCCACTCACTATCGCTAGCCTGGGAACCTGCTGTCGTGGCAGCGTCCGATTGGCTCGCGCTCATCGCTACGACAGAAGCAGCCCTCCGGGTTTCCGAAGTTCTGCTCCCAGCCCGTTGTCGTAGCGAAAGCTGCTGGCGACATTGGCGAGAGACTGAAATTCGTGGGGAAGATAGGGATGACGCGCTTCGACTGGAAACCGAAGGTTGGGGCGACCTCGACACTAGTGGCGTTTGAGTGGCGTGACACGTGGCGGGTGCTAGCGGGCAAAGCGCCATTGTCTGGGGGCTTAGAGCTAAATCTGCGTGACACAGCACAACAGGCCTCTGGAATCTGGACTGGCGGCTTCTAGAGTTGGGTTGTACTTAATGCTGTGCTGAAGTGATGGAGTAGACGGGACATATTATCTAAATGCCGGGGCATTATCGAGGAGGCGGGACATATTATCGCGGATAGCCCTTGTTTAGGATTTGAAGCAAGATTCATTTGCATGTCTAATGAAGGAATAAATGTTGCAAGAATTTTCCTCTCACATTTACCCAGAACTATAAATATATGCTCCCAGCGAGAACTGATCTTACAGTATATTTTTTGCAATGTACTCGAGTAGCTATTGTTTCTAAAAACACCTAGGTAGAGAATAAGTCAAGGGAAAAATGAAAAGCTAGCATAACGGAGGCCCCCCAACCGAAGCCTGAACCCACTGGATCATGGGCACCTGAGGAGGATGCGAAGCTAGGAACCTCGTCCCCCTCGTTGATCGCGGCAAGCCCTAAACCAAGCCCCTAGCAGAAACCTATGCCCTCGTTTGCTCAATTCTGCTCCAGTCCATTCTCGTCCCATTCCTACGTCTCATAACTAGCAATCGTTGCTTAGACCGATCGGCGAGCACGCGTTGTAACTAACAATTAGTATTTAGAAATCGACGGTCCCCAGCCATGGCGGCTGTGGAGGAGACCGTTCAAACCAATAGCGCCGCTGCGCCGGAGGACGCGGTAAGCCATTCGCGAGATGGTTGGGTGATTATTTTATGCAAAGCGGTGAAAGGGTGGGAGCCTCATGTTTTCCCGGTCGCAATCTTTCTCCATCGCAAGTTATCCATGTCGGGTTTCCCACTTGCAAGCGACTTTTTTGGCGCCTCGAAAGTCATCTTTTGAGGCGCCTCGAAAGTCATCTTTTGAGGCGCCTCAAAAGTCACCGGTCGCAAGCTGTCTCCATCGCAAGTTATCCATGTCGGGTTTCCCACTTGCAAGCGTCCGCGACTGCATCCGTCGTTGCTCAGTTGTTCGTCGTCGTTCCTCACGGCTTTTTCTCTGGCGCTTTTTTTCCGGACGCGTTGATTCGAGTTTCCGCCAAGGCCTAGAAGGAGTTTCCGCATTAGCTATCGTGTAACATTAACTGCCAGTGACAGTATTGCCGAAAACCCTCTCAACTGCGTTCACGTGTTCCTTTCAAGTCTCTCGATCTCCTTCCCCCTAGGTCTCCTCTATACGTGCAATTTGAACGGTGCGAAACGGTAGCTCTGCGCCGGGACGCGGATATCCCTTGATATTATCATTGTTTCCCCCTTTCACCCCACACCCCACCTTCCTCCTACCATTGCCCTCCCCCTTCTCCTCTCCCACCCCCCCTTCCGCCCCTCTTTTTTTTCACTGCCCCTTTCTTTGCCCCTCGCAGTCTGCTGACGGGAAGGTTCAGTTGTGCGATTCGGGGATGGAAGAGATTTTGAGTCGATTCACAAGTCGCCCTTTCTTTTCCACCCTCAGGCTGCTAACGGGGAGGTTCAGACGCGCGACTGGGGAACGGCGGAGGAGCTTTGTGAGTCAATTCACAATTCACCCTTTCTCCCCCCTCTCTCCCTCTCTCCCCCTCAGGCTGCTAACGGGGAGGTTCAGGCGCGCGACTGGGGGACGGCGGAGGAGCAAGCTGCGCGCGGACGGGCGCCCGTGAAGAAGGAGTTCCTGATGCCGCCAGGTGGCAGAAAATCATTGGCCGCCGCGGGCGGGAATGGGGAGGCGGGGGGGAAGGAAGAGGGCGGGGGAGACGAGGGCGGGCAGGGGAAGGCGGGGGAGAAGGGAGGGGGTGGTTGGGGGAAGGACGGGAAGGGGAAGGGTGGTGGGGGGAAGGAGCAGAGGCTGAGCCATCGAGCGATGAAGAAGCAGCGGAAGCAGGTAATTATACTGAAGCATACAACGAAGAAAGCGGGTACTTGAATAGCAGGCAGTCATAAAGCAGGTAATTTTGGAAGAAGATTCTGTGACAAAAGTCTCCGGAAGTTGTTGATTAAGATTGGCTTTTGTAACTGAGGTTTCAGAACCAGTATGGTCAGAAATTATTCCCTCCTTCACTTCCTCCCCTCTCCATCCACCCTCCTTTCCTTCCTCACTCCCCCCCCTATCCCCTGTTCTCCCTCCCCACTACCCCTACCCCTCCCCCATCCCCCGTCCCCTCTCCCGCTTCCGCCCCCTTCACACACCTTCTTCCTCCGCTTCCCGCCAGGCCATGGCGTCTCAGCCGTGCAACACTGTAGCGCGTACAGGCGACCCGGCCTCGTGTCCGTTTGGTGCCACGTGTCGCTTCAGCCACGACCTCGATATTATCCGCGCGCAGCTGCCGCCCACCCTGGACGGCACCTGCCCCTTTGCCGCCCTCCGACGCCCCTGCCCGTTCGGCCTGGCTTGTCGTTTCCGGGACGAGAAGCACGGGAAGCTTCCAGGAAGCGGCGACGGGGGAGGAGAGGGCGGGGAAGGGGGTGGAGGGAAGGAGGAGGGGAAGGGCGGCGGGAAGGGGAAGAGTAAAGGGGAGGAAGAGGGGGAGGCAGAGAGTGAGAATAAGGGAAAGGAGGCGGGGGAAAAGGAGAGTGAGAAGGGAAGTGAGAAGGGGAGTGAGGAGGGGAGTGAGGTGAGGTACCCTGGGGAAGTGAACATGCTGGAGAAGGGGCTTCAATCAAAGCTGTGGAAGCGACAGCTGGACTTCCCCAGAGCCGTTGATTCGCTGCAGCGGATTGGATGGACGGTGAGATTTGGACGGTGGGGGGATGTGTGTGGGTGGCTGGGCTCAAACATGCCAGTATCACGGGCTGATAATCGTTTTTGAGTTCTTTTTCAAAATGGGGTGCAGCATAAAGCCCAGCCTCATATCATCATGCCCAAGGGGTGAATTCCCCTTCTCTTAACCCTTCAGTACCCTTCTCTTCTTCCTCTCATTCCCTTCTTTTCCCGCTCTCTTCCCCGCTGTCTCTCTCTCATGGCAGCGCAAGGTGAAGCCAAAGGGGGAGGCCAGCCTCATGCCTGACCTGGACGAGAACGAGCAGGAGGGGGACCAGGGGGTCGCGGGGAACCGTCCATCTCCCACCCATTTCCTTCACTTCCCTTCTTTGTCTCCCATTCTCTTCCCTTCTCACCTCGCCTTTCCCGTATGGCAGCGCAAGGTGAAGCCAAAGGGGGAGGCCAGCCTCATGCCTGACCTGGACGAGAACGAGGAGGAGGGGGACCAGGGGGACGACGGGGATGAGGGGGACGACGATGGGGAAAACGAAGGGGGGATGGCGGAGATTGAGAGGGAGGGGCGGCGGAAGGGCGTGCTAGCAGCAGCAGCTACAGCCGCCAAGGAGACTGCACCGGCAGCTGCTACAGCTGTGAAGGACACGGCTGTAGCGGCGGCTGAGACTGTTGGGAAAGCAGCTGTAGCAGCAGCAGAGGCAATTGGGAAAGACACAGGGGCTAGTGTAAAAGAAGAGGGAAGGGTGGGGGATGATAAGGAGGTGAAGCTGCCCCACCGAGAGAAAAAACCCGTGGATTTCAAGGGTAAACTCATCGTCGCGCCTCTGACCACTGTGGGTAATTTACCCTTCCGGCGCGTGTGCTGCTCGTTCGGCGCGGACGTTACAGTGGGCGAGATGGCGATGTGTGGTAACCTGCTGCAGGGGCAGGCGTCCGAATGGGCGCTGCTGCGGCGGCACGAGAGTGAGAAGTGCTTTGGCGTGCAGCTGTGCGGGCCGCACCCGGATATGGTTGCCAAGGCCGCTGAACTCGTGGCTGAGCACTGCCAGGTGGGTTGCAGGGAGGGAGGATGTGAGGATGGTAGATCGATGGGGAGAGTGGGAGTGCAGCTGTGTGGGCCGCACCCTGATATGGTTGCCAAGGCCGCTGAACTCGTGGCTGAGCACTGCCAGGTGGGTTTCCCAAAGGTGTTAGATGGAGGTCTGTTGGAGTGGGTCAGGTGCGATCTAGAGCGGGGAGAAGATGGGAGTGCAGTGCATTCGACTTGCGCAGGTGCGTTTTGAGGGGGGTAGGTTAGATGCGGGTGCGTCTGATTGGGCGCTGCTGCGGCGGCATGAGAGCGAGAAGTGCTTTGGCGTGCAGCTGTGCGGGCCGCACCCTGACATGGTTGCTAAAGCAGCTCAACTCGTGGCTGAACACTGCCAGGTGGGTTGCAGGGAGGGAAAGAAGTGATGTGGGTCGTAACGTGGCAGACGAGTGAGGATTTGATGCGAGTATGGGAGAGTGGGTGGGCAGCTGTGCGGGCCGCACCCTGACATGGTTGCCGGGGCTGCTGAACCCGTGGTGGAGAAGCGCGGCCCAGGTGTGCTTTTGAGTCGACTCAAAAGTCAACCCTGACATGGTTGCCGGGGCTGCTGAACCCGTGGTGGAGAAGCGCGCCCCAGGTGTGCTTCCTAAGGGGGGCGGATGGAGGTGGACTGGCAGCCAAGGAGGCAGAAAGAGGCGGTGAAGTCGATTTTTTACTCGACTCAGAAATCGATTTATCGCAGGTGGATTGGTAGCTAGGGAAGCGGAAACAAGTGGTGAGGGGTGTGGAGTGGGAGGCTGGAAGGGCAGCTGTGTGGGACGCACCCTGATATGGCATGTCATGGGCAGCTATGCGTTTCCTAAGGCAGCTGAACTTGTGGCGAAGCAGTGAGAGCCATAGCAGTGGAGGTGGGATAAGGAATACGGACTGTTTTGCTAAGCGTTTCGTTCGTTCAGTGTGTGTGCATTTGTGCAAAGTCTTCATGTTTCCCCACTTGTCCTACTTGTGCAAAGTCTTCATGTTTCCCCACTTGTCCTACTTGTGCAAAGTCTTCATGTTTCCCCACTTGTCCTACTTGTGCAAAGTCTTCATGTTTCCCCACTTGTCCTACTTGTGCAAACATTGGTTCTGCTTGTCTGTTGCCCTACTGCCTCTCTGTTCTCCCCTCAGGTTGATTTCGTGGATCTGAACATTGGGTGCCCGATCGACATAGTCGTCAACAAGGTAAACCCTCCCCCCCCCCCCCCTCTCTCCCCCTGCTTTCTATTGTTTGAGGCGATTCGAAGGATTGTTTAAAAGTTGGGTACCTGAATTATGGACATAGTCGTCAACAAGCTAATTCCTCTCTCTCTCACCCCTCCCTCCCCTCCCCCCCCTCTCCCCACACCCCCTCTCCTCCCCTCCTCAACTGGCAGCCCCAGTCACTCCGCGCCTCCCATCCTTGGAAGCAGTGTCTGTTACCGGCTACTCCACTCCTTGCTCGCAAGTTGACTTTTGAGTCGACTCAAAAGCTGTCTGTTACCGGCTACTCCACTCCTTGCTCGCAAGCAATCACCCTCCTCCTTCCCTATCAGAGTCTCGGGGTCATCTCTGCTGCGCAAGCCGCAGCGGTTGGAGCAGGTGGTGAAGTGAAGGCAACCACACAACCCCCCCTCCCATTCTCCCTCCTCCCCTCCTTCCCTCCCTTGCTCTCTCTCAGGGATCGGGGTCGTCGCTGCTGCGCAAGCCGCAGCGGTTGGAGCAGGTGATTAGAGCTACTGCGCTCGCGATCGACGTGCCTCTCACTGTCAAGGTGTGTGTGTGTGTGTGTGTGTGTGTGTGTGTGTGTGTGCGTGTGTGTGCGTGTGCGTGTGTGTGTGTGTGTTGGGGGAGAGAGGGGGAGGGGGGAGGGTGCTTGTCGTAAATGTGTGTGGGGGGGGGGAAAGGGGGGGGAGGGGGGAGGGGGGGGGGAGGGGCTTGGCGTCAAGGTTTGTAATTGAGGCGCAGAACGGACGCTACATTCGCGAACCGAGCAGCGAATACAGGAAGCCACAATGTGATGCACTGCAGCATCCTGTTCCACACCTGCCAGATTGGGGCGCGCTGCAGCTGTGCCCCCCCCCCCTGGTCTCATTGCTCATGGCTCCACAACCCCTTCCCATGCCTTTATGCCTCATTCGCTCCTGCCTCATTCTCTCCTGCCACAGATGCGCATGGCACGGGGTAAGCAGAGGGCCACAACGTGACTCGCCACTGCATCTGCACCTGCTGGATTCATCCTGCTCCTTGCTTCCTTTCTGTCTCCATCCCTTTTGCTCTCTTTTGCTACAGATGCGAACTGGGTAAGCAGAAGCCACAACGTGGTCACAACCGCTACACCCCCTGCCTCCCAGCTGCATCTACACCTGCTGACCTCATTCTGTTCAATGCTTCCTTTCTTCCCCCACATTGTTACTGCTACAGATGCGCACAGGATATGCCGAGGGTCACAACGTGGCGCACCGCTACATCCCGCACCTGTTGGACTGGGGCGCTACAGCCGTGACCCTGCACGGCCGCACGCGCCAGCAGCGCTACAGCCGGCTGGCGGACTGGGAGTACATCGGGGAGTGTGCGTCAGTCAAGCCGGCAGGGCTACAGGTCAGTCAAGCCGGCAGGGCTACAGGTCAGTCAAGCCGGCAGGGCTACAGGTCAGTCAAGCCGGCAGGGCTACAGAGGTCAGTCAAGCCGGCAGGGCTACAGGTCAGTCAAGCCGGCAGGGCTACAGGTCAGTCAAGCCGGCAGGGCTACAGGTCAGTCAAGCCGGCAGGGCTACAGGTCAGTCAAGCCGGCAGGGCTACAGGTCAGTCAAGCCGGCAGGGCTACAGGTCAGTCAAGCGGGCAGGGCTACAGAGGTCAGTCAAGCCGGCAGGGCTACCGGTCAGTCAAGCCGGCAGGGCTACAGGTCAGTGGCATGCATAGCATGCATTTTTTCTTGTGACTCTTCTCTTGAAAAAGCATACCCTTTTTTAATCGAAGGACTCCCACATTGCCATCTGTCGTCCTCCCTCTTCCCCCAGCACAACCCCCCCACTCGTCTTCCTTCCTCCCCTCCTTCCTCCTGTGGTTTACATGCATTGGCGATGGGCTGGCATACATGGATGTTTGGGAGAAGCCATAGCAGGATTTGCTGCGTTCTCCTCATCCCCTGGCCCCTCCTTCCCCCCTCTCCTCCCCTTGCTTCCCCCGGCCTCTCTTCTCCATCAGCAGTTCTTAGGCAACGGAGACGTGATGGCGTACATCGACTGGAGAAGTCTCAGCAATTCTCGCTCTCTTCTCTTCCCCCCTGTCCCCTCCTGCCTCTCCTCCCTCCCCTCTCTTCACCGCCAGTTCATAGGCAACGGAGATGTGATGGCGTACACCGACTGGAACGAGCACACGGCCAATGGCAGCGCGACATCTGTCGACTCGTGCATGCTGGCACGCGGCGCGCTCATCAAGGTGAGTTGTGCTGCAAGCCGTTTAGGTGGTTTTTGTTGTAGTAAGCTGTGTGTAATGTCAATGGTTGTTGTTTTACCTCCACTATTCTCTTCTGTTGTCTATCTTCCTCAATCCCTCCCACCACCCCCCCTTCCCCCTCCCAGCCCTGGCTGCTAACAGAGATAACGGAGCAGCGCCATTGGGACATATCAGCGGGGGAGCGGCTGGACATGCTGCGCTCGTTCACGCGCTACGGGCTGCTGCACTGGGGCTCCGACACGCGCGGGGTCGAAACCACCCGCCGCTTCCTGCTGGAGTGGCTGAGCTATCTGCACCGCTACGTGCCCGTGGGGCTGCTGGAGCTGCTGCCTCAGCGCATCAACTGGCGCCCTCCTGGTTTCTACGGCAGGAATGACCTCGAGACTCTGTTTGGGTCTGACCAGCCCCAGGATTGGGTGAGTAACGCTTTTCTTCCACACCCTCCTGGGGAACAGGGGAGGGGGAGGGGATTCTGGGTGAGTGGGGAGTGAGAGGAGGGAGAGAGCAACGCGGTGCTTCCTGCTGGAGTGGCTGAGCTATCTGCACCGCTACGTGCCCGTGGGGTTGCTGGAGCTGCTGCCTCAGCGCATCAACTGGCGCCCGCCTGGTTTCCATGGAAGGAAGGAATGACCTTGAGACGCTGTTTGGGTCTGACCAGCCCCAGGATTGGGTGAGTCGTATTTCTCTTTCCTTCCTCCTTTTTACGCCCTCCTGGCCCTGGCAATCAAAGGGGCAGAAGGGGGAATGAGATAGCAGTGTGCTGCTTCCTGCTGGAGTGGCTGAGCTACCTGCATTGCGTTTCTAGCGGCCTTCTTCGCCCCCCCCCCCCCCCTCCTCCCATCCCCATTCCTTCCCCACTCTTGCTTTTAACAGCTGTAAACGACCTATTGTCGTTCTTCGATTCAACCGGCCAGCCCCACAACTGGGGTGGTTGGTAGGCCTGGGACGTTTAAAACAACCGTGTGACACTTGTTCCTGGCTTGCTTGCGTGCATCTTGAGAGTGTGGTTGCCATGTACAGCTGGCTGCAAGCTTGGCTCTTCCCTTGCAACCTCTCCCACTCGTCCTTGCAATGCCAATTCTCTTGCAGCCTGCTTGCCTCTGCTCTGCATGCCTTATGTCTCATCTCCTCGGGTTCCTGTGTTTCCCATCCTGTTCAATTTCTTTGTCTTCGTGCGTGTTTCATTTATTGCTGCGCTTTTATCAGGTCAAGATTTCTGAAATGCTTTTGGGCCCTCCTCCGCCAAACTTCAACTTTACCCCAAAGCACAAGTCCAACTCGTATGATGCGGCTGAAAATGGCTGATGTTACGTGATTTGTGTCTGCGTACCAGATCATATATTAAGGGCTGTTGAATTTATTTTGTTTACGTCCTCGAGGTGTTTTTTCTGCTGGTTATCAGCTCGTAACTCAACTCAGCATTCTTTCATTGCAGGTTACCAAATGGCTACATTGATTTTGTTGGATGTTTTTATTACCAGTATCATTGATAAGATATGTCAATGTATTCAATCACCTTTCAGCCACTCGTGAAGTCTTCGTCTTCTTGATTTCCTCATGCCCAATTAGCGGGGAAACTTTTAGTGAGCTGTCTTGCTGATGATAAGCGCCGCGAAGTACGGTGACACAACCACACCCACTGCGCTCTTCTCAGGGTTCCGCAAGATTCGTTATCCACCTGATGTCTGCTATTTCCTGGTCCCCCTATCAAGTCGGTCTCAGGATTTCTGCCAAATAGACGGAGGGACTTTCCCGGATGAGGAGGTCAAGGCGTCGGTTTCCGGAGATGGGAACTCCGGACCATCTGCGGCTCGCGCGAACATCAGCCTCATGGTTTCTTGAAACGACAGTCGTTGAACCATAACTGCTTCGTCATTAACTCTACGACAAGACGACGTGGTTACCGCACGTCCCGTTCGTTTCGTCATGGCATGTCTGGGCCGCACATCGCGGCTCATGTCATGGATCCCATCCATCCCATACCATCCCAAACATGCATTGCCGCATCGCATGTGTTCCGTTGCACCACCCCCCCTATCCCAACATTTCCATGTACGTACGGACGCATCCAGCACAGCCCCCATACAAATTTGCGACAGGCAATCAAACTTTTTCAATTTCGACTTTTTCGAGCTGCTGTCAGCTCAGAACCTCCATATATTTGGCCAAGGTTTAACATCAGCCACAATTTCAAGCAGTCTTTGCTTCACGCAACAGCAGCTATTAATCGGGCTCTGAACTCAGCGAACGGCTACTGCGGATTATCAGCATGGCTCGGATCCTCGTTCTCTTCCTCCTCGTATCCTTCGCGGCGTTCGTCGCAGATGCGTCGCCAGGTAAGCCAGCAATCTCGCATGCACCTTGTCGCCTTCGTCGTGACCCCTGAACAGCACGCTCAACTTACTCTCCCTTCTTCGCATCTCTCACACCTTTCCGTCGTCGCATAACATGTTTCAAAACGATTCTTTTCTCGTTCGTGCACCTTGCCCGTCCACGCCAGCTGAAGACACCAATTTCGTGGCGCCAATTCTCCGCGCCGAAGCGCAGGTGGACCACCCGCAAGGTACGGCTCTCTTATCTCGTCGCTACGTCAAACCTTCTTGACATTCTCCAACTTCTTGCGATTCTGTGCCCATGATAATGATCGCTAATGATTCGACACTGAGTGATGGCATGATACCATTCGAGTGTTTATCCGATCGCTAATGATTGATTTTTTGTTGCTACACTTCATCTCTTGCAGCTTCTAGAAACCGCCGATCGCTCATGATCAATGGAACCCCGAACCGCGACACGCCGTGCGCCACGAAGATGACGTGGTGGAACCAGACGAATCTCACCGGGGCCAAGTGGGTAACGTGGCTTCCTAGCCCCACAGACGGCTGCCTAAACTTCCCGCCGGAATACTACTCGTCGACGTATTACGGCTCGATCAGGATCGAGTGGTACGCGCCGACGCAGGCGATGAAGACCGATTGGTACTTCGTCACGTGCCAGCAGGTCCGTTCCTTCTGAGCTTTTTGGTCGCCGACGCAGGCGATGAAGAGCGATTGGTAGGTACTTTGTCACTTGCCAGCAGGTCCGTTCGCGACTCGGAAGTTTGCAATCCCAGCGAGAGTGATGTCGCTGATCGTTCGAAGGATGAATGTTTGCTTCCTCGAATGAGCACTCTTTTTCTCGTTGCAACGATATCAATCTGAGTCGCGTCGCGTTGCTGGCCCAGTCGTCGCGTCGCTAACTTAAACGTCGCGTCGTTATTCACTGAACTTTCGTGTCGCTGTGGTCTTGCAGCTCCAATTCTACTCGAGCCGCGACTGCAATGTCGGCGTGCAGCAGCTGACGTGCCCCACGGACCGCAACCCGCCCTTGCCCAGCACGCGAAAGTGCGTCCACTGCGCACTGATTGCACCCGTGCTCTTCCTTGCCTCGCCCCGACTGCACTCGTGCCTCCTTCCTCGTTGCGCACCGATTGAACCGTGCCTCACCCGTGCCGCTCTCTTCTCTCGCCAGCTCGTGTTTTTTTAGAATTCTCAAAAAACACTCTTTGCCCGCCGATTGAACCGTGCCTCACCCGTGCCGCTCTCTTCTCTCGCCAGCTCGCACCTGCTTTCGCGTGCCCCTCTTTCATTGTCGTATCGCACCGCTGCCATCACTTTCTTTTTTTGTCTCGGCCCTACTCTTCCTTTCCCATCCCCTGCAGCCCCTTCCCCTTCATCCGGACGCCGATCAAGTCCGTTAGTTGCCTATACTGTGAGTACCCACGAAACTCCAGGCTTGTGGAAGTGACGAGTTATCAAGCCTCGGTAGCAGCTTCTCCTTGTATTCCGTTCCTCCCCTCTTACATGAACAAAATTTCTCGCCTCATATAATATTCCTAACTCCCAACGCTGTGCTGTTGTCTTTGTGTTGCTGTTACGTGGTAACCACCGAGCAGGGCAGGACCTGACCAAATTGTACACGTGTCCGGCCAACAGCCACCTGGAGACCAAGTGGGCGGGCGCCAAGTGCTATTGCAACAAGGGATTCGCCGAGCAGAACGGCGTGTGCGTTGGTAAGTCGCTGTTAACACCCCACACTTGACAGAATTCTGATTTTGAGTCGGACACCAAGTGGGCGGGCGCCAAGTGCTATTGCGACAAGGGCCTCGCTGAGAAGAAAGGTGTATGCGTCGGTAAGTCAGCGCTGGCACCCCATTTCTTCCATCTCCCCCCCCCGCCACTTCCATTTCCTCTTCCCCTCCCTTCCGCCTTTCCCCCCCTCCCCCCCTCACACTTCCTCCGCTTCCCCACACCTCTTCCTTCCCGCCTCTCCCACTCATCTTCCCGTCTGCCCCCGTCTCCTCCCCCCAGACGTTTGCACGCCGCTCAACTGCGGTCCCAACTCAGACTGCTACGTGGCGAACGGAGCAGGCGTGTGTAACTGCACGGAGGGTTACCGCATGGTGAACAGGAAGTGCGAGGCTGTGGGCAACTCGGATTTCATGGAGCCACACAACGCCGCCCGCGCTGCTGTCGGTGTGCCGGCGCTGACGTGGAATGACACTCGTGAGTGTGACTACAGCGAGTTCTGTGGTCCAATTACCTGTGGCAATGTTGCATCGTCCACTGCTTCTACCACGTTTTGCTACTCCTGTCCTAGCGTGTCCCCCGACCCTACAACCCAAAATTCTCCCACGCTGCGCTCCCCTCTCCCATCTCTGCGCTCCGCACTACCATCTCTTCCAATCAGTTGCGGCCGAGGCTCTGACCTGGATCACCTCGCTCGCCACAACAGACAACACTTGCCGCACAGCCACCCGCAACAGCGCCCTGTCATACGGCCAGAACCTGATGACGACAATCGGCATCGGCCAATGGACGGGCAGGATGGTCGTCAACTCGTGGGTGGCGGAGAAGTCGAGATACACCTACTCGCCTCTGAACGGCGGGTGTGCAGCGGGCTCGATCTGCTCGCACTACGTCCAGATCGTGTCTCGGGCATCGACAGCCGTCGGATGTGCTTCGTATACCTGTGCTGGTGCGGGGGCACAGCTCTGGGCGTGCTTCTACTCGCCTAAGGGACTTGTCAAGGGCAAATATCCGTACTAGCCACTTGTATTGGGTGTCTCATGTACTCTATAAAGGGTATCCTTTACTAGCCTCCTGGGAGGGCATGCTGCTGCTGGACGTGAAGAAGGCAAGGTGGAATGCCATCCAAGAGCCAGAAGGAATTTGTTCAGCGTGCTGCTTGCATCTGAGTATAGGAATTTTACTCTTGTATACTGTCTCCATTATTTCCACATTACAATTACGGTATGTATTCCGAAGTTGATTTGTCACCCAGGTGCATTTCTATGGGTGGGTTGACTGGCAGCTACGCTACACCAGTGTGGGTGAAATCATGCTGTTTGAGAACTGTTGAAACAATACAACGCTAAGCAGTGGGCATGAATAAGCCAGCTACTACCAATCCGGCAGCTGCAGGTGGTAAGGAGCAGGCCCTCAGAAGTCAGCGAAAAAAGGCTGATTAGAGGTAAAAAGGCTGTGATTTCAGTGGTGTGGGAATATTGAGGCTGCTGTGTCGGTTTTTTTTTTATGTGTTTGCTGATTGTTCAGTTTTTTAACATCTGTCAGTGCTGAAACATCAGTTTCTTTCCAGTCGTGTACGCTGTCTCGTCAGAGTTGTAACAAAGGGTTGGGCTGAAATCCCTGAAATGGAGATTCGCGTAAGTGCCCTGAATAACGGATGTCTAGGTATACCGGTTCGTGCCCCGCCTCCATCAATCACGCCGAAATGGCAAGATTCCTTGCCAACGCATTCGGGAATGGCATCATTCCCGAACGTTCACTTCAGTGCTGTCTTATCGCAAAGGTATCTTCGCTCCTGATTGGTTGTTTGGGCAACCACATCACTCTCTGGCGCTGCACCACGCACGCACGTTGCAGCAGCACAGCACCACAAAATGGTTGCCGCGCGATTAGGAAACCCCCCCACCTCACCCACCCCGAAGCTGCAACCAGGTACGTGCATGATTACAAGGGGCGCGTTCTTAGAATCTTAGGCATGAAGTTGTGTGCGATTAGATCAAGGTTGGGGTACAAGACTAGAGTGTTGAGAATGTTTCTGTACCCCCTAAGGCTAGCCCCAACATAGCCTAGATACTAATATGCATATGTTTTGACACACCCCCATAGGCGAAATGAGGGAAAGCCAGAGCAAGCAATGGTCACAAGACCAGTCAAGAGAAAAAACAAAACACAGCTCAGGGTGGATCACAACGTCACCACACACACTAAGCACAAGCAAACGGCCACAAGGCCAGTCCA